TTTCCCCCAGAGTTCCTCTTACTGCCCTCCTTCCACCATGTCATCTCTGTTGGTTAGGATCAAGTCCAGGATAAAGGTAAAGGTTCCCCTTGACAATTAATTGTCCAGTTGTGTCTGACTCTAGGAGGTGGTGCTCATCCCCATTTCCAAGCCATAGAGCCAGCGTTTGTCCATAGACATTTTCATGGACAGCACAACAAGACACAGAACGCCGTTACCTTCCCACCGTAGTGGTATCTATTTATCTACTCGCATTTACATGCTTTGGAACTGCTAGGTTGGTAGGAGCTGGGACAAGTGTCAGGAACTCACTCCACCGCATGGATTTGAATTGCTGGTCTTTCGACCTTGCAGCCCAGAGGCTTTGCGGTTTAACCTGTAGTGCTACCACATCCAGGATAGCTAGTCTTAATTTCTTTTTCCAGTTTTTGTAGAAGAAAATTATCAGCCACACAAGCCAGGAATTTCTTGGAAGATCTATGTTTGGCAGAATTTGTCTCCCAACAGGTATCAGGATAACTACTACATCATGTTTTTTTTTAATTCTTGCAATTTGTTTTTCAAAAGTTTCATCTGCGCCTTTTTCTTGATTGGGTGGTCAGTATGAGACTCGTAGTAGACTCCAATTGCCATGTTCCTTTTGTTTTTTATGCCAATTATATTTATCCAGATGCTCTCAATGGGACAACCAAGCTCATCCTCCCATATTTCTGTGCAGGAATATGTGTTTTTGACATATACTGCAACTCCACCTCCCTTTCTATATTCTCTGTTCTTTTAAAACATTTAATATCCTTCAGTTACTGTATTTCATTCACTGAAATCATCTCACTGAGTTTCAGTTATGCCTATCAAGTCATATTTTCCCTCCTGAACTAGGATTTCCAGTTCTTCTTGTTTGTTTCCTATATTTGTATATAGACACCGGAGATTGAGTGATCTGCGGCCTGCTTTATTTCCTCCAGTTTTTGAAGATTATTATTGGGCCCTCTTTTTTTTTACATATACCTTCATCTATCTTTACCTCTGAGCTTGCTTCTCCCTCCCTTTTCCAATGCAGTTTAAAGCCCTCCTGATTACGTTTTTCATGCTGTGGCCAAACACATTATTCCCAGCTCTTGTGAGGTGTAATGCGTCACTTGCCAGCAGTCCATCTTCCAAAAAACTTAGCCTGTGGACCCAAAATCCAGATCCCTTGCATCAGCACCACCTTTGTAACCAGTCATCCACCCAAAGTATTTTCCTTTCCTTTTCTGTTTGAGTACTGGTAGGGTAGACATGATGACTATCTGCCCCCCAAAGTCCTTGGATTTCCTGAGTGATCATATTATAGTTGCTATGGACATGTGTCATGTGCCAGCTATGTGGAAAATTAAAATTTCTTATCTTTAACTGTAGTTATAGCTCATAGCATTATGGAAAAGCTTTGGCAATCCTTTCTAGAGAAGCTGGTATTTCCTTCTAATTTTTACAGTGATGTTGGTATGAGAAGGAGCAAGCCTCCACCAGAAAGAAGGAGAATGAGCTGTCCTGTCAAACTCCCACCACAGAGGGTTACAAAACTGTTTATATTGTGTTACCAGCAGTGGCTCAATTGGGGATACAAGAGAAAAAGAGTGGGAAAGGAGAGGAGAAAAGGGTGGGATAACAACGGTTAGGAAAGGAACACCAATAGAAGAGGGGTATCTGGTGACAGAGGTGGAGGAAAAGATAAAAGAAGAGGTAGACTTGGAGACAGTAGTAGAACAGGAGGAGGAGAGAAAAAAGAAGAGTGAAAAAAAGGAAAAGGAAATACCCTTCGGATGGGGTTGGTTAGAAATAGAGGATCCATGAACCAGAGAGCGAGTCCAAGTGAAATTACCTTTTGAGGAGATAGAGAGAAGGCAATACAGTGGATCCTCGACTTACGGAATTAATGAAATTACCTTTTGAGGACATAGAGAGAAGGCAATGGTATTATACAGTGGATCCTCGACTTACAGAATTAATCCGTATTGGAACTGTGGCCACAGGTCGAAAATTCCGTAGGTCGAGGGTCCATTTCCCATAGGAATGCATTGAAAATCATTTAATTCGTTCCAGCCAGAGGAAAAAAATCTGGGGCTTCCAAAGCTGCACTCGCTGCCTTCTGTCCCCACTGTCCTCTGCCTCTCATCCCCACGGGGACAGGAGGGTGCCGGGGACAGGAGACAAGAAGCCAGTGGGTGCACCTTTCAAAGTCCCGAAAGCCGGCAGCGGGCACGGAGCGGCTTTCGGGCGGATTGGCTTTCGGCTTTCAGAGCTTAGAAAGGTGCACCCACTGGCGCCTCCTGTCCCCAGTGCCTTCTGGGCACCGGGGACAGGAGACAAGAGGCCAGTGGGTCCAGCTTTCTAAGCCCTGAAAGCCCAAAGCTGACAGCGGGCGCAGAGTGGCTTTCGGCTTTCCCTGCCTTCCCCCCGCTGGCAGCTTTGGAAGACGAAAGCCGCCGTGCGCCCGCTGTCAGCTTTGGGCTTTTGGGGCTTAGGTCTGCAGCCTACGGACTGGAAAGGGGAGGTGGGGAAAATGCCAAATTTGAATTTGGTGCTTTCCCTACCTCACCCTTCTGGTCTGTAGGTTGATTCTCCGGCCGCAAGTCAAAGTGAAACTTTGCGGCCGGAGAAGTCCGTAGGTTGAAAAGTTCGTAAGTGGAGCCAAACGTAAGTCAAGACTCCACTGTATTCCAACACTAAGAGGAGACCAGAAGAGAGGGAATAACAGTGCAACTGGGAGAAACAGAGTTGGTAGAATGGACAGTGTATGTGTACCCGAAAGGGGATGATTGTTGGAAGAAGGGAGGCAAACATTGCCTAATTCCCAACCCAGTACGCCTGCAGAAGGAGAATGGGCTGTACACCCTTGTTGTGGAACCATTTGCCCCAACCTAAGGAACTTGACCCAGCAACCGATGGATCGCGAGCGCTTTGGGGTGAACCCCCATTGGTGAAGTCATTCTTTACGCCCAAGTTCAAAGACAGTTGGACAGAAAGAGACATATTAAACAGACCTGTTGGTCTTACCAAAGTGGTTGTTCATGGTTCCCTGTTAACAGTTAATAAAAAGTTTATGCACCTTGACGAGCCATTGCTACTTTTTTGGGAAAGAAAGGGAGGATGGAAGGAACTCAAGCTTGAACCCACTCACAGTTGGAAAATTGGAAGCAGACTGCAGAGACTTAGTTGAGATGATATACTGGAGCATGGCTTCTAACAAGAACAGATTCGGCATGCAAACCATAATTAGAAACCTGCTTCAAACTATTGATTGTAACTTTTAATAGATACGCTAAGAGCTTGTTTGTGTTCATTGATCATTTTCAAAACTGGAAGAACAGCAGAGTCTAGTGCAGGAGTCAGGGAACTTTTTTACCTTTTACCCCCCCAAAAAATTTATATAAGCTGACATTACCCCCTTGATTTTTCTCCATATATTTAAGCAAGCTTGGTGAAGCCACACTTTTTCCCCACCTTAATTCAAATCTTGCCTGTTCCTTTTTTTCATAGTTTTGAGTCTCTCTCTCTCTCTCCCCCTCTCTCTCTCTCTCACACACACACATTCACCCACCCTCTCTTCCTCCATCCATACATTTTCTGCATACATTTAAATAAGCTTGATGAAGCCCTCGGTCTCTTACACCTTCTTTCCCTTCCTTCCCTCGTTAACTGGATCCTTTCCCTCCTCCTGCTTGTTTGCAGTCATCTCCAGCGGAAGCAGTCATTCACAAGCCCCGGATTGGCTGACTGCCCGGGGCTATTCCACAGCTGTAATCAATCAAGCAGGCTTATCTCCGATCTCTGAAAGAACAGATTTACAAGTGCCCTCCTGCAACCAAGGAAGTAACAGGGAGAGTTGGCTTACAATTTGAGGTTTGGCTGCAGGGGGTAGGGGTGGGAGGGAGGGGTAGCGCTCTGCTCATTACCCCCAGGATTTTCACTTTTACCCCATTTGGGATAATTTACCCCTGTTCCCAGACCATTGGTCTAGTGGCACCTTAAAAAAAACAGTAAATTTCATTTGGCAGTATGCTGTACACATGCAGTATGCTGAAGACTACAAAAGTTTGTAACAAGTAAAAGCTGCTAAACTTTATGATGCTATAAGACTCTTTGTTGTCTTTTGTAGCACCAGGTTAATACGACTGCCCATTTGGAATTTTCAGAACTAGATGTTCAGATTAACTTATCATCTGCAACCACTACTGGAATAGTTAGTATTTTTCTGAATAGAGTTTCCTGTTTGCAGTAACAACTATTTGCTGTAATCAACTTGTTTTTTAAGCATCAATTTTGGTTTTGGCCACAGAATTTAACAGCCTGAGGAGGACAGCTGGACATAGCAAGAAAGGAACAAGTGCTTAGTTGCAGAGCAACAGAACTGTGGTAAACCTGGGTGAGAAGGGAGTAGCCTAGATGTGATATGTGCTGCCAGGGAACAGTCAAAATACAAGAGACTTTGGCTCTGTTTAAGTATAGCAGAGATTCTTGCTACACTAGATTCTTACTGTATTCTTACTACACCACAGGGTCTGTGGCAGGTCTCTTTCTCCCCCACCCCCTCTCCATTTGTCCTTAGAAGGAGGATAAATATTTGGTTTTAAACTAAATACAGTTCCCTGTAATGACTATGTATAGTGGGAACACTATTAAGATCTAAACCAGTTATTTGATCTTTCCTTGCTTTTACCTATTGTAAGATCTAAAAAGAGATTCTGTGTTACAGAGAATGGAAGTTAGTTTAAAGTCAGTTTTCTGTCCCTTTCAGATATGAAAAAGGAGGGATGGGAAGGAAGAAGCACATGAAATCTTGGGCTCATACCATCTCCTCATTTTCATGACTTCTCAGTCAACTCATTGTCACTCATGTGTTGTTGTTTATGTTTAGCCAAACATAAATATCTTTATTGTCAGCAGTGTGGAGTCTTACTTTGTCAGCGGGGATTGTATTAATGATAACCCGATATCTTCAAAAATGTTTGTGTCTGCAGATGAAAAAAGCCAAGATGCAGGAGTCGGGCGAACAGCTGTTAAGGTGTGTAATCACTGCATTTATTTACTATGCACAAAGTCCAATTTTAGTTTCAACTTGAGAAGACCCACTGAACCAAGTGGGGTTTATGTAAGTAGTGGCTAATACTGTAAGTTTCATTTATTTTGCTCTTGTTAAGAATTAGCTTAATTTGTGGTGTGTGTGTGTGTGTGTGTGTGTGTGCATTACTTTTGAAAAAAGGAAATTGCTGTTGCTTTCTGTATTTTTCCTGTACCTTGTTTTAGTACAGTTTAGACACAACAGACCCTTGCTTTAGTAATTTTGACAATTCTGTAAAGTAAGTCATATTGGCATTTCAGAAATGTAAGAAAAGAGCCAAGTCAAAAACATGACTTTGTTGTGAATTTGGTAAGTAAAACCTGAACCTGAATTACAGAGGAGACAGGGTCCAGATACAGCACTCTGTTGGAATAAGTTATTGCATAGAAAAAAAGTGAAAATGGTGAAACAGAAGAACTTCCTGTAATTCCTTCATCCATATTGCAGATGTGTTATACAGTGACTTGTCAGAGAAACTGCTGGATAGCTCAAATTCTGGCTGTGCCTCCTTGACAGGAGATCCATAGGGTCCCTTCCAGCTGTGCAGTTCTAAGATGATGATGACGACGACCTTCCTTTCCTCTCTCTTTCTCTCTCTCCCTCCCTCTCTCTCTTTCTGGTGCTGAAAATTGTGGCCATCTTCTACACACAGATTACACACAGATATATAGCCACATGATAATAATTTAATCTTAAAGTCCATGTGAATGTTTCTTTGATCCACACAGGCAAACCATGGTTTATGAACATGCCTCGCTCATACTCTTCCTCAGATGCTGTGCCTAGATGGCACCTGAGGGTGGTGAAATTTGCTTCACATGTAATGTCAGATGAAAGTTTTCACAATGTATGGCACTCTGCAGAACAGCTTCAAGCTGTGCTTCTGAATTCTGATTTGGCTGCTTTGTTCTTGTTTAGTTGTTAAGTTGTGTCTGACTCTTCGTGACCCCATGGACCAGAGCATGCCAGGCCCTCCTGTCTTCCACTGCCTCCCGGAGTTTGGTCAAATTCATGTTGGTACAATGGTACCTCGACTTATGAACGTCCCTACTTGCGAACGATTCGAGTTACGAACAGCTTAGTTTGCAAAAAGTTGTTTTGACCTGTGAATGGAGCTGCGACTTACAAACCAAAAAAGGGGGAAAAAACCTTTCCTGCTCTTTTTTGACCCAAGTTCACCTTAGGTCAAAAGAAGAAGAAAAATCGCCCCCTAGTTGTAGAATACAGATTAACCGGCTTTGCATTAGTTCCTATGGGAACTAATGCCTCTACCTACAAACAGCTCCTCAACATACGAACAGAAAACAGCAGATACGGATTAAATGGTTTTCAATGCATTCCAAAGGGAAAGTTTGACTCGACTTACGAACTTTTCGACGTAGAAATTTAATTCCAATATGGATTAAGTTCGTAAGTCAAAGTACCACTGTAGCTTTGATGACACTGTCCAACCATCTTGTCCTCTGTCATCCCCTTCTCCTCTTGCCCTCACACTTTCCCAACATCAGAGTCTTTTCTAGGGAGTCTTCTCTTCTCATGAGATGGCCAAAATATTGGAACCTCAGCTACAAGATCTGTCCTTTGTGAACACTCAGGGTTGATTTCTTTCAAAATGGATAGGTTTGTTCTCTTTGCAGTCCAGGGGACTCTCAAGAGCCTTCTCTGGCACCACAATTCAAAAGCATCAATTCTTCGGTGGTCAGCCTTCTTTATGGCCCAGCTCTAACTTCCATACATCGCTACTGGAAAAACCATAGCTTTGACTATGTGAACCTTTGTCGGCAAGGTGATGTCACTGCTTTTTAAGATGCTGTCTAGGTTTGTCATCACTTTCCTCCCAAGAAGCAGGAGTCTTTTAATTTCATGGCTGCTGTTGCCATCTGCAGTGATCATGGACCCCAAGAAAGTCAAATCTGTCACTGTCTCCATATCTTCCCCTTGTATTTCCCAGGAGGTGATGGGACCAGTGGCCTTAGTTTTTTTGATGCTGAGCTTTAGACCGTTTTGGTGCTCTCCTCTTTTCACCCTCATTAAGAGGTTCTTTAATTTCTCCTCACTTTCTGCCATCAGAGTGGTATCAGTTTGTTTGTTTGTTTGATTTATATCCCGCCCATCTGGTATATTTTATCACTCTGGGCAGCTTACAGAATATCAAAACAGTTTAAAAAAATAAAAACATTAGCATACAACAATAACAAATAGTGCAGGAATAAATAAATAATAAATAGCAAAGCAAAAGAAATCAGTAGTTGACAGGAGGGAAGGCCTGGATGTACATCCATGTTTTCAGCTGGCATTTGAAAGTACCCAGTGTAGGGGCCTCGTGAATCTCCGGAGGAAGGTTGTTCCAAAGGCGAGGAGCCACCGCCGAGAAGGCCCGGCTTCGTGTCTTTTCCCTCCGGGCCTCCTTTGGCGTCAGGCTCCTCAGCCTCACCTCCTAACTCATGCGGGTGATCCGAGTAGATCTTCGTGGGTGCTTTTAGTTTAAAACTATATCGGAGGTTGTTGATATTTCTTCCGACAGTCTTAATTCCGGCTTGGGATTCATCCAGTCCGGCCTTTCGCATGATGTATTCTGCATATAAGTTAAATAAGCAGGGGGACAATATGAAGCCTTGTCGTACTCCTTTCCCAATTTTGAACCAATCATTGTTTCCATATCCAGTTCTTCCTGTCCCACATATAGGTTTCTCAGGAGATAGATAAGGTGGTCAGGCACTCCCATTTCTTTAAGGACTTGCCATAGTTTACTGTGGTCCACACAGTCAAGGGCTTTTGCGTAGTCAAGGAGGCAGAAGTAGATGTTTTTCTGGAACTCTCTGGCTTTCTCCATAATCCATTGCATGTTAGCAATTTGGTCTCTAGTTCCTCTGCCCCTTCAAAATCCAGCTTGTACTTCTGAGAGTTCTTGGTCCACATACTGCTGAAGCCTACCTTGTGGAATTTTGAGCATAACCTTGCTAGCGTGTGAAATGAGTGCAGTTGTACGGTAGTTGGAGCATTGTTTGGCACTTCCCTTATTTGAGATTGGGATGTAAACTATTTTAATCCTCAGGCCTCTGCTGAGTTTTCCATACTTGCTGGCATATTGAGTGTAGCGCCTTAACAGCTTCATCTTTTTAGATTTTAAATAGTTTGACTGGAATGCCATCACCTCCACTGGCCTTGTTGTTAGCCATGCTTTCTAAGGCCCACTTGACTTCACTTAGGCTGTCTAACTCAAGGTCAGCAACCACACTATCTGGGTTGTCCGGGACATCCAGATCTTTCTGGTATAATTCCTCTGTGTATTCTTGCCACCTCTTCTGCTTCTGTGAGGTCTGTACCATTTTTGTCCTTTATCATGTCCACTTTTTATCATGGCTTCTACTTGTAAATTATGGTTTGTTGGAATGCATTTATTTAATTACTGAAATGACCACTGTAGAATTATTCAACAGAATGTATCACTGTTACTGTCATTCACCTCTTCCTATTGCAACCAACATGAAATGTGGCTTTGTATCAGTTTAGTCATATAATTTTTTTGACCACAGTTTGAATTTGTCTAAAGTTTGTAAGCTGATATTAAACTAAATTCCTTATTTCCAGTGTAACAACTATGCTTTAATTAAACTAGGATGTCAGAATAGAAAAAGAGGAGTAGTTAGAATGAAGGTAATATACTCCCGTGTTATTCCATTCTAGCTGTTAAACTATGATATAATAACTCCATTTCAAAGCTATGCATTCAGACCTAACACTGAAAATTGCAGTTTGGTCTTGTAGCTGACACTGCGCCAGTTTATAAACAGTGGTTCAGAAGTGTCTGCTTATCCATGATACCAAATCACAATGCAAACTTCTTTCCAAGCTCCATTGTGAAATTTCGAAACCTTTGGAGCCAACTGCTAAACTGATGGAACATGAAAGCAACTCAGATGATGTGGGCTCCTGTCTAAGGTTAGCAGAAACTGTGATTTGGCATGATGTCCAAACTAAGTGAGTTGTTTTGTATACAAAGAGTGATAACAGCTCCCATGTTCATATTGATCTTTTCAGGCAAGTGAACAGCACAGACAGCAGTAATCAGAAACCAGAATCCTCCAGCCTTGGTCCAAACCTATCCATGTCCAGTGAAAGTAAGTGTCTTTTTTCCTGTCTGTCTTTATAGTTAGAAGTGGATTGTTTCATGCATTTGAATTTTAAATTATAAGCATTATTCCCAAAGGTTTAGAACATATACTTTGCCCACACAGGGATCAGTGCTTACCAGCAGATTTTGAAAGGAGTTTCTCTCATGGGAACATTTGTACAAAATACCCAAATACTTTAAAAAAAACTCACTTCTTTGTTTGATCTTTTCATTTTTCAACTTCCTTCAATGCTTTTTTTCACTCTTGCTCCCTGCCACACAATATTGGCCCAAATCCTCTTTCTTAACACCACACTAGTGTAGGCCTATTGAACAATGGGAATTTAGTAAATTATCTCCTTCATTGTTTCCATTGATTGATTCAAATTGGTCTACTCTAACTATGACTCACTATGTTAAAGTAAGTCACAGTTAGAGTAGGCCAATTTGAAACAGTGGAACCAACAGAGTAGTTGATTCACCAAATGCCCATTGATTCAATAAAACTACTCTAGTGCTATTTACTGTACTAAGCAACAGGATTTTGGCTGCTGAGAAGGAGCCTACATCTGATACCTTTATCACCATCGTGGTCATTAGTTCTTGGTAGCTTTGTTATCCATGACTTTGTCTAACTGCTTTTCAAAGCTATCCAAGTTAGTGGCCATCACCACACATTCCATCCTCTTTAACTATACGCTGTATAATTTCTTTTAATCTTTGAACCTCCTATCAGAAACTATGTGGGGTAATCTCGGATGCTATTATGAGAAACAAATTTCCCCCAATCTGTTATTTAGAGTGGTCGACCAGACCAGATGGGCGGGATATAAATCAAATAAATAAATAAATAAATATTTAGACATCATATATAACTCTATACACCTTTATCATGTCCCTCTGCCTGAGCTTTTTTCCTAACTTAAAAAGCCTCAAGTGTAATCTTTGTTCACACGGAGTTTCTCTAGATCTTGAAAAACATGAACTAGAACTCTGGTCATCACTACTTCTGAAAGAAGGAAGAGGGGATCTGGTGCCATTGGAATTCCTATGAGCCTGGCTGGATCACTCAAAGTTTTGTCTAGTCCAGCATTGTCTTCACATCATAGTCCAGTTATGGGAAGCATGTCCAGATTATGCTGGGTCAAAGAGGCCTGCATTAGAGAGAGAGAATCCATAATTATTTGCATGCAGTCATATATATATATATATCTTTTTCAGTCATGCCATGCACTGATTACATCTCAAGGTCATCAAATGAATATACCTCACAGATGTATTCTACAAAGTAAGTTGAATAGTTTGTTCACCATAATCAGTTCTTTCTTTATCTAGAGTGCAAACTATGGTCATGTTTTAGCAAATTTAGATAATTTTTGTCTTTAAACTGTTTGGCCAGAATCCTGTTGCAGAAAACCGTGCCAGTGCTTTTGCCAGCTCTCAGTTTTATGTCTGATTGTTCAAACAGAGGACAGTGTTAAAATGTCTCCTACCCCACTTGATGGTTGTCCTTACACGGTTGCGCAAGCCATAGGATTCTGACCTTTACATTGATAGAAAAGCAGTCACTTTTAATTTCGTAACATTTTTGCCTGTAGTTGGTTAAGGGGTTATTAAAAGGGGGAAGGGGGACTTTCCCTTTCAGTTAGTGAGATTCACTCACATAAAATCTCCCTTTCTACTGGGGAGAATTCATTAAATTGGGAGAAGCAATGCATTTGCTTCTCCCAATTTTTATTTGTCCCATTTTATTGATAACACATACAGCTTCTGGATTGCTTACACCTTCTAGGAAACAGGAGTGTGCAGTGCACTTGGAAACACACACTCCTGTGTTTTAAAACATATATACATCCCTCACGGTTGAGTGTGAGTAACAGACAGAGAAAGACCCGTGTTATTTCTAGATACTATGTATTGTGTCCAGTTATGTCCAGTTCATGTATGCACACAAAAGGGCTTTGTGCCTGCAAGGACACCTTTTCAGAACGTTCCAGAGCCTCAAAAATGAACGTGCCTCTCTGCCTATACTGCACAAGTGTGGCCCGCTCTCTTCAGTCCTTTTTTGTCCACACTGCAACAGCACATGAAGGATTGCTCTAGAACCTCTGCTTCACTTACCTTTGTCTTTTTTGATAAGTCCTCTGCCTTTTTCTTCTCCTTCCTTTCTTTCCCATCTTTCTGTAATAAAAAAAAGAATAGAGAGAGAGAGAATGATAGAGGGTTTAGCCTTTTCAGTTCTATTCTCCCCCTTTCCTCATGGCTTTGCTATCCCCCTTTCCTAGTGATTTATATCCTCTGCTTCCATGAAAAAGTGTGCCACTTGTGGCAAAAACATTATCCAATCTGATGGGCATAATACTTGCCCATTTTGCCTAGGAGAAACTCATTCAGTTCAGTCTTGTAAAAGAGCTTCACCACTCCTACACTCAAAAATCTCCAGTTCTGGCTTCGATCCTTTCTTTGGGAACAATTCCTTTGAGCCATGAATTCCCCTCTGAGTGTGATTTCAAGTTCTTAAATGGGTCGGCTGGCTTTGTTGGGGAATGACACAGACCAGCTTATTGCTGCTCATACTTCTGTCACCGAGTATATGATCTTAGTCTCAGAGGGTGAGTGCCTGAGTTCCTCTGTGCAGTGTCACTACCTCACTCAGAGCACCATCTCCTTGGATCTCATTGAGAGAGCAATCCTTGCCTCCACTGTTCAAGGATGGGCAATTGTTGAAATTGAGATCCCCTTGCCCTTACCAGCTGTCTCCACAACTGAGACATCATGACAGGAAGAATAGGAAGTCCAGATCACACTCAGCTTCACAATCCCCACCATGTCAGTTTTGACTATGCTATTCCAGGTCCCCTTTGACGAGCTCTCTATATTGTGAGGATGTGTACCGTGCATCTTTCTTCTGCCCTCGTTGCTTCATGTATGGGGTATGGGGTGGCCTTCCCAGTCATATAGAAGTCACCATCAATCCCAGGAGTGCAGCAGGTCTTGATTGTGCACACACGATTGCCCTTGATCTTGAGAAACCTACTTTACCAGCCTTTGAGACTGAACTCCCGGTGGCTGTGAGTTTGTCGCAGTTTCTTCGGGCACTTTGGAATTTATCTAGACCCCCACACCAGTCCACTACCCTGTGTCTTCCATGGGGCCAGCACCGACAGCCAGTATTCCCCCCCCCCCGGTCATCCACCCTGGCTGTCCGACTCACCTCATCTGAGGTGCTTCTGCCTCTCTCTAATCCAGACTTTTTACCTAACTCACAATCACCACATTGTCTGCTCACAACACCTTCCATTCTGCAGGAGAAATATAATCAGATTATAGCTCTGCTGCTTCTGATGGGAGCAGGGGAAGGACACTATTGCTGTCCCAGAATCCTCATCTGATTCCAATGTTCAAAGAGAGGATTGCAAAATACATCTGCTGGTATTCACACCAGTACTACTAGCCAAAGATGCATGTTTTGACTATGTTCATAAAAAGACAAACATACCCATCAAAATGGCGATGCTTGATACCCTGACAAACGTCATCATCCAGTCCTGGCAAAAAACTTTCTCAATCACACCGACAGCTTGAAGAATCGATAATTTGTACAGGGTCCACAACAGGACAAAGCTAAGTTCTGTTTAAATACCCCATACTGAACTCTGTCATTAACCAGAGGACCCAAATGAGATCCAGGAGCTTTTCCTGTGACACTCCAAATAAACAAACAACCTGCTTGCTTGCAAGGTTTGTTCCTCTGTGGCACTCTGCATGCACATAGCTAATTATCAGGCCATGATGGGTGCCTAACATCAATTCATCTGGAAGAAATTTCAGACCATCATTGCCACTTTACCACCGGACAAAATGTCTCTCGCCATTTCCTTTGGCTTTAAAGCAATCTCTGGCTTTAAAGCTAACCCATTCCATCCAACAAGTGGCCAACGATGTGGCGAAGAGCATGGAAGCAAGCATCAATCTGCGTAGGCATTCCTGGTTCTGCTCAGCAGGCCTTCTAAGTTCTGCATAAAAGGCCTCCCTTTTGACAGAAAGGGCCTCTTCAATGACGAAAGCTGATGATTTTATGCAGGACCTCCACAAAAAGAAAACCAATACAAAGAAGATGGGAATAAATACATGCCACCCAACAACTCCACACTTCCGCCCTCACTGGAAGAGATCCCCTCCATACTCTGAATGGTCCAAGGCATCAGATCGGGCTGCTCACCCCTCCATACTCTGAATGGTCCAAGGCATCAGATCGGGCTGCTTCACCCCTGCTTCCTTTTCCACCAGATACAAGGAAACAACATTCACTAAGAAGACAGACAGGAAATCTTGATAACAATTTTGATGCTATCCAGCCTGACCTTGATGCACGCATCCCCTTCTTGCCATCATCCCACATCACCAGAGTTACATACACTTAGCACTGTTCATCCATACTTGGGACACCACTGCTTCAGATGCATGGGTTCTCAACATCATAATCCATGGATATGCAATAGAGTTTTCTTCTCTTCCACCCACAGGTGTTGTCTGATGCACTCCACCCTCCCCCATCCTTCAGGTGGAAATCCTCACATTGCTGAAGAAAGAGGCCATCTCAAAACTGCATATCCCTCTCACCTGGGATGGCTTCTCCTCCTTGTACTTTTCTGGACCCAAAAGGGACGGAGGGCTGCATCCCAGTTTGGATCTATGCACCCTCAACAGGTTCATCACCCCAGAATGTGGAGTGACGTTACAGTCCATTCTTCTCCTGCTTCAACAGGGAGACATGTATTTCCACATCTCAATTCACCCACAACGCTATCTTCTTACCCAAGGTGGCATCCCGTTTTCACATGTCTCAACCTCTTAACGACCTTCAATACTTCTCTGCAGAATGACCTGAAACAGTCACTCCATTCCTTGTATGTCAGGCGGTCCTTGGCCTTTTACCTAGACAGGGCAAAAGACTTTAAACAACCAGACAATTAATCTCTTACCAAGATCCCAAAAAACCCAGTCTCCTCTCAGTGTTTCTCTAAGGGGATCTCTCAGGCTATCACCTTGACTGGCAAACTGGCAAACGAACCTCTGTCTTGGGCTTTCCGCAGTCATTCCACCAGGGGAGATTCCTCATCCACCACTTTCATATGTGGCATAGACACCTAAAAGATGTGCTGAACATCTACATGGTCCAGGCCATTGCCATTTGTCACACACTACAGTGGTGCTTCGCATAACGATGTTAATTGGTTCCAAAAAAACATCGCTATGGGAAACATCGTTATGCGAAACGCGTTTTCCCATAGAGATGCATTGAAAACTGGTTAATCCGTTCCAATAGGAACGGATTACCATCCTTAAGCGAAAATCACCATAGGAAACATCGCTAAGCGAAACGCGGTTCACCAATTGAAATGCATTGAAACCTATTCAGTGCATCTCAATGGGGGAAAAATACAACAACAAATTAAA